GGACACTCTCAACGTCCAGTTGGGGGAAAAGGAAAGAGCTTCAACAAATGGAAGAAACCAGCACAGGCCTACACCATGTACGAGGACGACTACATGGACGCCTTTGAAGAGACTTACGAGCCTGAGAATGACGAGGCCTACTATGAAGAAAACCAAGAAGAGTATGCTGATGAGGCATACGAAGAAGAGTTTGATGAAGATGCAGTCAACTACACCGGCTACGACGAGGACTACCCGGACCAAGAAGACCCAGAGTATGAGGAAGCCTATGCCACCTACCTGGCACTGGATGCCAGGCGACACTTTGCTGAGCTGCGCAACAACAGAGGCTTCTATCCAGTGGTCGCACTGACCGACAATACAGCTTCATCGAGTCCAACAGCTTCACAAAGGCCATACCCTCCCCGTTCCAAGGGAAGCAAAGGAAAAGGAAAAGGGCAGGGTTCCAAATCACCTCCACAAAAGGGTGATGCCAAGAGTCGAGGCCGCACCGCCTTGAACCAAACCAAGACCTGCCTACGATGTGGTCAACCTGGACACTTTGCAGCGCAGTGCACTCAAAAAGAGAAGCACCACCAACAGCCCAACCAACGCCGCCAAAAAGGCCAAGGCCGAAACCGCCAGATGGTCCAGTTCGAAATGAAGGACTACCAGCGCATCCCAAAGGGACTCTTCGGCGCCATGGACAGCTGGCAGCACCGATGCCATTGCATAATTGCGGATGATTCGATCGAAATCTACAGATCTTTGCATGACCATTTTTAGGAGTCGATCCTGGCGACTGCCGCTCATGCGGTCAACCCACAGATTCAACAAAGGCTCGGTCAAACCTCTGCATTGGTAAGCTCGTCCCTTGAGGACTGGGAAAGTTTTGTCTGTGCTCTGGAATTTCTGTGTTGTCAAATTGGCCACAAATGTCGACAGCTCGGAGGGCACATACCTGGGCAGAACATTGAACAATATATCTATATACCGTTTTCATTGAACCACATTAAGACTCAAATACCATGAAACAAACTGCAAAATGGAATGTTGGATACTCTTGCAACGCAGGCAGTAACACGTCCAACTTGTTGTCGAACTTGTGCTCCAGGAGAACGGCCAAACACCCGCCGTTCAAATATGTGTCGACGCCACACCACTTGGTGTGCATCAAATCCGGGGACACATGTTGGCCAGTCAGCCCGGTGACTGTGAACAAATCCACAAATCTCCTCGATGTCTCAAACCTCTCTAACCATTCATCCTTGCTCATCAGCTTGGGTACCTGAGTGGGAGATATGTCAAAGATTTCTTCCTTTGGACTGGAGCAGAGTTGGCAAGGCAGATTGGCATTGTGGCCCGGAAGGCCCAACCACTGTGGATGCCAGGCTAGGTCGGCTTGGACTAACCAGATCGTGGCAAACCAGCCTCCTGCCAATGGCGTTCCAGCAAAAGGCGTCCTCACCGGATTGCCCTTCCAGTCCAAGAGTGGCCAGGTGCCTCCAAATATCTAGGATGTGGCCCAACGTCCACCACAATTGTGCCCCAAACACTTTGCTGAGAGTCTCAAACTCTCAAAACTCTTAAAGCCCTCACACTGACAACAGAAGTCTCTGAAAAAGTTTCAAGTCCGCGCAGGCTCAAACACTAACTCTCCAAGCTCTCAAAACTTCCCTCTCAAACTCTCAAAACTCTTTAAAACTCTCACTGTAACTCTCCAAGCTCTCAAAACGTCCCTCTCAAACTCTCAAAGCCCTCACACTGACAAAAGGAGTTCCTCAAACTTTCAAAAATGTCAGCAGTCTCAACCCGGTCAATATTATATCTGTTCTGCCAATATTGCCTTGCCACAAGCTTTCCAGAGACCAGGCAAGCGCTTTCCAATACTCTTTGACGGTTTGCTGCTTTGCCACCATATGGCTCCATATCAAGCTGACAACGAAGTTCTCAAACTTGCTGTCAACAGCCTCCAGTTTCACAACTGTCACACAATTAGATTAGTTAGAAAGACAAAACACTAGAGGCTGCGTGTTTCACTGCAAGGCGCGTTCGTGCAAAGCAAGGACCGCCACGAAACAATTTCCACGGATCTGCTGTGGGCACTGCCCACGTTCACACATGGCACGCCATCACCGTGAAGGGACAACGGTATACCTTAACAACAACGCACAAACAATTGACAACGAGCGCAGCTACTAGCACTGACAATTGACAACATAGGGCTAAAAACCTGACATATACGCAAGGGAGCCACACTTGCTTCTGTCGCGCGGGTCAGTGCTCAAAGGGTGCGCGCGGAAAAGTTCTGTCGAACCCATTGTGTTCCAGAATGCAGCAGCCGCATCCGGATTTATGTAGCTGGCCCATGCGTCTCTATAACGCGTGTATAGTGCTGCGAACATCTCGTGAGGCCAAAAAATCGAAACATCAGATTGCTTGACCTTCTTCACGCCAAACTGGAGAGGGAGTTCTACTTGCCGCAGAGGGAATTGCGGCTCGCCGACCCACCTCTGCAGGTCCCGCCAGGTGTTCGCCGGATTGCTACCGGATGTACCTAGCCTCGCAAATTTCTGTATCGCGGGGTGGGCGTCTGGAACGTCTTTGGTAACCATATAGGCTATCTTCTGGCCTTGCGACGCACTTGAGTGTCCCCAAGCTATTTGTTCCAGTAACCATTGCGCCAAGTGGCTTGGCGCCTCCGCAGCAGCCTTCCGTTTACCCATGACTATAGGTAGAAGAGCTGTTGAACAAAAATTTTTCAAATCGAGTACAACCCCATGACTCAATGACCATGTGAAATTCAGATTGAGTGGTACTGTACTGTAGTTGTGGCAGCCTTTGGCCTCTGTGATTTTGCCAGACATGACCTCCTAGGAGGGTGATTTTCAATCGGTGATGTTCAAAACCCACAGACTTGAACCAGTCTGCAAACCAAAGCAAACTACTGAGCGTCTTGCGCTCAACGAACGCAATGCCACAACCTTCAGATTCAATAAACACATCAACCACATTCGTCAGCGCGCAACTCAGCTGTATTTCCTCCGACATAAACCTTGGTAGGCGGTATGTGCGTTGTCCTGAGCCCAATCTATTTCACCGAACGTTGCTTTAGCCAACCATTACACTCTACTGTATACAAAACAAGTATACGATCTTATGCATCTTTCAATACAAACTTAGGGGCTCAAGAACGTCCGACAGCTTTTCCGACGTTGCAGCATTCATGCAGATCTTTCAACTGCACGAACAGCTTCTGGAGCATTTGCTTCGCATTTGGCGGTGTCAGGGGCATGTTGCCTGGACCGCGCTTCGTCACCTTTATCTGCGTCATAACACTCACGGATTCAGTGACTGCTCCATAGGCCATGTTCAACTTTTGGAGCATATCATTCGCCAGCTTGCTGCCAGGCGCCCTACCGCTCAATGTCTGAATCACAGCGGCCGCTTCGGCCAAGCTACCCTGGGCCACAGTCAACGCCTGTCAAATATGGACTACTCTCAGAATATGCAATTGTCACAGAGTTGAGCTGCTCAAAATGGTCGAAGAACTATACGTAGCGGAAACTCTCAGCAATGAGAACTCTCAGCTAACCATCAAAACACAAAATCCTCAAAACTCTCAAGAAAACTCTCAGCAATAAGAACTCTCAGCTATAACCATAAAACCACAAAACTCTCAGAACTCTCGGAAAACAATCAAATATAATATAACTCTCAAAACTTTTACTTAAAAAAGTCTCACCTGACTCACCAGCTGCAAGCCTGACAAATATACAATTTGCACAAGCCGGCCTCGTCGAGTTTCTGCCAATATTGCGGCGGCAATTCCAGCACTACATCCATTGACATAGCACCGCTTCCAGCACCACCCATCATTCCAGCACCACCCATCATTCCAGAACCACCCATCATTCCAGAACCACCCATCATTCCAGAACCACCCATCATTCCAGCACCACATCCAGCACCACCGAAACTCATTCCTCCAGGATTCATTGGCGGCAGCATCAGTTGACCGGGATTCGAAGGCTGGGAGAAAGAAGGCGTCTCGGGTGCGAAGACAGCGAAATCCAAAGCTCCCCAAAGCTGATCCATCACCAGCCCATCGCAAACATCACTTGTGTGCAGGGACGTCATTGTCTCTAGCTGTCCACCTTTCGAGGAACTCTCCTCTTCCCATCGGTAGAGAGTTTTGCCGGAGTGGCCTTTGACAGGAACAATCTCGCCAGCAGCAATTGCTTGCTTTAGGCCAGCTTCCCCGCCAGCCTTCTGAACCGCAATGAATCTTGGTACACTGCGGTGTCCTGCACTGAACCTTTCTGTGTCAATCTTCTTCCTGTCTTTGCTGACTGAACCTTCGTCTGAAAGGGTGAAGGTCCACTTACCATTACACTTCTTCATCCTCTTCATGAGCCATTCAGTCGCCTCCTGCCTTGCCATCACCGCATAAATAGTTTTAGTGTCACGCAACGCAGTGAACAGCATCGGCGGGACAGCAGCATGCAAATTCACAAGCTCTCAGAAATGCTAAACCAACAATATGAAAAATAACTTTAAGAATTAACTAGTTAACTCTGCAAAAACATCTCGCCAAACTCTCCAAACTCTCAAGACTCCCCTCTCAAACTGTCAAAACTCTCAAATACGCATTGAAACATTCTGGACACTACAGCCGTGCGTGGTTTGCGGCCTGCTTGAGCTTTCAATCTTGTTCCATTCATTCTGTGCTGCCACCGGCAGGGAAGGAAACAATCGGCGAAAGGCCATCGCTGCAGCTTTGTTCCTGCCCTTTTCCAGCCTGTCCTCATCATCGCTCTTGGAGCCGTCGCTTGCCTACAAAGTCAGGAGTCCAGCTGCCATGACAAATGAATCAACGCAGGCTAACAAAGGCCTCGCCATCACTCTTTGACTTGTCAGACTCGGACTGGGACCCTTTCTTCTTTTCCTTCCTGCTCTTGTTTTTCTTCTTCTTCTCATCCTCTTCCTCGTCACTCTCAACTTTGAAGCTCTTGAGCCACTCCCCTCTGTTGATCTTCTTTTTCTTATCCTTCTTATCATCATCCTTGTCTTTAGTTTCCTTCTTGCTCTTCTCTTCCTTCTTGCTCTTCTCGTCCTTCTTGCTCTTCTCATCCTTCTTGCTCTTCTCCTCCTTCTTGCTCTTCTCTTCCTTTGTGTTCTTATCATCCTTTGGGCTCTTCTCCTCCTTCTTGCTCTTCTCTTCCTTCTTGCTCTTCTCGTCTTTCTTGCTCTTCTCGTCTTTCTTGCTCTTCTCTTCCTTTGTGTTCTTATCGTCCTTTGTGCTCTAGTTGCTGCGCGTGGGTCAATCAAACCTACTAAACATCAAGCCTGCCGAGTCTGTCGAAGCTCTCCAAAATCTCCAAACAATTTCCCTCAAAACTCTCTCAAAGTAAAGCTCTCCAAACTCTCTCGAAGCAACGCTCACAAAACTCGTCTTTCTTGCTCTTCTCGTCCTTCTTGTTCTTGTCGTCCTTTGTGTTCTTATCGTCCTTTGCGCTCTTCTCCTCCTTCTTGCTCTTCTCAGCCTTTGTGCTCTTCTCTTCCTTCGTCTCCTTCTTTGGCTCGACCCTGGCCTTGGCCTGAGCAGGCTCAGAGCCGTCTCCATCGTTCTCTGGTGCAGCAGACCTCTTTTTGCTTTTCCTTTTGGGTGTCTGACTTGCTGGTTCCTCCTTCACTTCCTTCAATTTCGCTTCTTCTGCGTGCGCGTCCTCTTCTTCCTGGTCTTTCTGGCCTTTCTTGGCTGTGGATTTCCCTTTGGCTTTTGGTTTTGCTTTCTGGGCGGCTGCCTTTCCCTTTGCCTTGGCCTTGGCTTTGGGCTTTGGGGCAGCCTTTCCTTTTGCCTTTGCCTTTGTTTTTGCTTGGGCTTTGTCTTTGGGTTTCTTTTTTGGTGCTTCGCCCTGCTCTTCTGGATTCTCTGTCTTTCGCTCTTCTGTCGCTTGTTCCTGAAGATTCTCGTCCTCTTGCTCAACTTCCTCTGCCTCTAGCTGTGTCTCTTGATCTTTGTCCTCTGTCTCTGGCGTGGGCTTTTCAGGGGCACTAGCATCGTCGAGCGCCGACATCAAGTGCCAACAATCTATTGCCCAGAAAGGGCCAACAACTTTGGTTTGAACCAGAATGCTAGCAATGCTTTTCAGGTAGTATTTCGACACGATTCGCGAGTTCCACTCATATATCAAATATGGAAAAACTCTCAAAACTCTCAAGACTCTCAAAGAACTTTCAAGACTGTCAAGACTCTGGAGAAATATCAGAAACTGTCGAGACAACACTTTCAAACCCATCACGACTCTTGTCTTTCTTCGATCCTGCTCTTGTCTTTCGTTTTGTCAAATTCTTTGGTCTGCTTTGGTCTGAGGGTTAAAATTCATTCCTTATGAAACAAAACACTACCCGTGTTTAAAAGAGTTTAGGCTTTAAGGTGGGTTTGTCTATTTTTGTATCTCAAATTCTTTGTGTAATTATATATTTAACTAAATGCTCCCCTTTTTAGTTTAGGGTTTAGGGCGGGTTCCTTGAGTTTAGGGTTTAGGGTGGGTTCCTCTTCAACTCTTTATGTAACTAAATGCTGCCCATTTTGTTATCTAAAGTTTAGGGTTTAGGGTGGGTTCCTCTTAATATATTAATGTAATTCTTTATGTAACTAAACGCTGCCCGTTTTTTTATCTAAAGTTTAGGGTTTAGGGTGGGTTCCTTGAGTTTAGGGTTTAGGGTGGGTTCCTCTTCAACTCTTTATGTAACTAAATGCTGCCCATTTTGTTATCTAAAGTTTAGGGTTTAGGGTGAGTTCCTCTTAATATATTGATGTAATTCTTTATGTAACTAAACGCTGCCCGTTTTTTAATCTAAAGTTTAGGGTTTAGGGTGGGTTCCTTCAGTTTAGGGTTTAGGGTGGGTTCCTCTTCAACTCTTTATGTAACTAAATGCTGCCCATTTTGTTATCTAAAGTTTAGGGTTTAGGGTGAGTTCCTCTTAATCTATTTATACAATTCTTTATGTAACTAGACGCTGCCCGTTTTTATCTAAAGTTTCATATCAAAACTTCAATGTCAAAAGTTCAAAGCATTGAAGTTTCATATCAAAACTTCAATGTCAAAAGTTCAATGCATTGAAGTTTCATAACAAAACTTCAATGTGAAAAGTTCAATGCATTGAAGTTTCATATCCAAACTTCAATGTAAAAGTTCAATGCATTGAAGTTTCATATCAAAACTTCAATGTAAAAGTTCAATGCATTGAAGTTTTGATACGAAACTTCAATGCGTTGAACTTTTACATTGAAGTTTTGATGTGAAACTTCAACGCATTGAACTTTTCACTTTGAAGTTTTGTTATGAAAGTTCAATGCATTGAACTTTTCACATTGAAGTTTTGCTCGGAAAGTTCCTCTCAAAACTCTTAGAAACCTCCAGTCTGAACCCCTAACACTCTATTCTCAACACTCAAATTCTCAGACCTTCAAACAAAAAAGACTCTCCAATGTCTGAACCTCCAAACTTTCGATAATCTTTTCACAACGCAAAATCTGAACTCCCACAACATTACGCAGATGCAACTCTTGTTTTCACAATGCGTGCAGCAGGTTTCCACGAGCTCTATACTCTACTCAGAAGTAGTCACCTCAAAGTTCACATCAAAACTCTTAGAAACCTCCAGTCTCAACCCGTAACACTCTATTCTCAACACTCAAAACTCTCAGACCTTCAAACAAAAAAGACTCTCCAAAGTCTGAAACTCCAAACTTTCGAAACTCTTCTCACAACGCAAAATCTGAACTCTCATACCTCTCAAAACTTCATTTCCAATGCCAAGTGTGCGGCAATATATGCAGTCGTCGCTTTTCTCCTCCTCCAGGCTTCATATCCGAAATCTTTGGGACAACTCCATTGCAGTGTTGTTAGAGAAAGGTAACATGGAAGCATAGAGTAGAAGGACTGGTGAACTAGCTTGACGAATAGCGTCAGTCGAGATCCTGGTCGTCAGCAAGGTCTGCAGTGTTGCCTGCTGTGCCAGCATCATACCACTTTCAAACAACATTCAAAAACTCTAAGAAACTCAACATAACAAACATCGTTCAACTCTCCAAACCCTCAAACATGCGCTCGTTGGAAAACTCTCAAAGCTCTCTAAACTCTCTATGTACTCTGAGTCCACTGCTTTCCGGCACTGATGCTCCGCCACGTTCGTGGCCTGTAGTGCCAGCATCATACCATTTTCTGAAAACATTCAAGAACTCTAAGAAAATCAATATACCTGACATTGTTCAACTCTCAAAACTCTCAACAACTCTCAACTCTCTCAAACATGCCTTCCGGCATCGATGCTCCGCCACCTTCCTGGCCTGTAGCGCCAGCATCATACCATTTTCTGCAAACACTCAAGAACTCTAAGAAACTCAACATAACAAACATCGTTCAACTCTCTATGTACTCTGAGTCCACTGCTTTCCTCCTGCTTCGCTTCCGACTTCAGGCCTTCGTGGCCTGCTGTGCCAGCATCATACCATTTTCTGAAAACATTCAAGAACTCTAAGAAATTCAATATAACTGACATGGTTCAACTCTCAAAACTCTCAAACATGCGCTCGTTGGAAAACTCTCAAAGCCCTCAAAACTCTCTATGTACTCTGAGTCCACTGCTTTCCTCCTGCTTCGCTTCCGACTTCATACCTTCGTGGCCTGCTGTGCCAGCATCATACCACTTTCAAAAAACATTCAAAAACTCTAAGAAACTCAACATAACAAACATCGTTCAACTCTCTATGTACTCTGAGTCCACTGCTTTCCGGATCCGGGATCGATGCTCCGCCACGTTCGTGGCCTGTAGTGCCAGCATCATACCATTTTCTGAAAACATTCAAGAACTCTAAGAAAATCAATATACCTGACATTGTCCAACTCTCAAAACTCTCAACAACTCTCAACTCTCTCAAACATGCCTTCCGGCATCGATGCTCCGCCACCTTCCTGGCCTGTAGTGCCAGCATCATACCATTTTCTGAAAACATTCAAGAACTCTAAGAAAATCAATATAACTGACATTGTTCAACTCTCAAAACTCTCAACAACTCTCAACTCTCTCAAACATGCCTTCCGGCATCGATGCTCCGCCACCTTCCTGGCCTGTAGTGCCAGCGTCATACCATTTTCTGAAAACATTCAAGAACTCTAAGAAATTCAATATAACTGACCTCAAAACTCTCAAACATGCGCTCGTTGGATTAGCATCTATCCACACGAAAAATCTTTCTGGATGTCCTTGAGGAGTCAGAGGGGTCACAGGATTGAGGACTGCTGCCTTGGAGCCTCAGCCCCACAACTATCGCACTTCCCAAAACTCCAATCAAAGCTTCAACATAACTGACATCGTTCAACTGTCAAAAATCTCAAACATGCGCTCGTTGGAAAACTCTCAAAGCTCTCAAAACTCTCTATGTACTCTGAGTCCACTGCTTTCCTCCTGCTTCGCTTCCTCCTTCCCTTCCTGCTTCCTTGGTCCATCACCTTCGTGGACAACACTCTCAAAACTATTGTTTCAACTGAAATTGTAAGTCTCAACTGTCAAAACTCTCAACAACTCTCAACTCTCAAAACTCTCAAAACTCTTAGCTTTGTTTTTGTTCTTGATTTAGACAGGCCTGGAGCTTCATCATGTGTAGCGACATCTTAGTACCAAACACATTCAAAGTAGATTGTCAGTATGCCAGGTAGTGCAGCTCTCAAAACTCTCTATACACTCTGAACTTTTCAAACACCAAGCTCTCCACCCTGTTTCTTAGCCGTTGGATCTGAATCACACCAGCATCACAACATTTTCAGGACACATTCAAGAACTGGCATCGTTTCACTAGTCTTGATATCTCAAGGCCTCCAATGTATCTCTTGTACAGCGAGCTCGACAGGAATTTCCACGCACTCTCAAGCTCGCCTGCAGGAACATATATATATATGCATATAAATATGTTCGTGAAAAAACTCTCAAAACTCTCCGCAACTCTTGGACAGCGGATGTCCTGCTGTTTGCTCTTCTTTGTCACCCATGGATCCTGCAAAACTGGCAGTTGAGAACCGCGCAATTGCTCCTGAAAAGTGAAAAGTGGTCAATCCTGGCACTGGCTCCGCCAAGGGTGGCTTTCCTGGCCATTCTGAAGTCTGACAAAAGTCCAAACTCTGAAAACTCTCAACTGAAGAAAAGTTTGCGTAGTCAAACAACTCTCAGAACTCTCACAACGCTGCAACTCTCCAAACCCTCAGTCCCTTTATCGTGGCCTTTTGGTTTCTTTTGCGGCGGGCCTGGCCACTCTGAAGTCGGAACAAAGTCAGAAGAAAAGTTTGCGTAGGCTGTAACTCTCCAAACCCTCAGTCCCTTCATCGTGGCCTTTTGCCTTCACCTTCTCAGCAGATGATGGGCCTGGCCACTCTGAAGTCTGAAGTAGGTCAGAAGAACAGTTTGCGTAGGCAAACAACTCTCAGAACTCTCAGAACGCTGCAACTCTCCAAACCCTCAGTCCCTTCATCGTGGCCTTTTGGCTTCTTCGGCTTCGGTGGTGGGCCTGGCCACTCTCAAGTCCGAACAGAGTCTG